GTGCAGATCAGTGAGTAAGCACCAGCCCGCCTGTGCTTACCTTGCTCCCGGAGACCCGGTCCCTCTCGGGAGGGTAACAAGGGAAAGTTACCCTCTCCCGAGAGGGACCGGGTCTCCGGAAGCAAGGTAAGCATGGGCGGGCTGATGCTTACTCACTGATCTTTTTATTAGTATAAAGTGAAAATTGTTGGAGTAGGTATGTTGTGGAGCTTGAGAATAACTGGATGAAGGAAAATAGCTAGCATTTGAGAATAACAATATAATGGCAACTTCTTGCTTTTACAGACATTGAGAAAAATAAATTATAGTAAATAAAATGCCTATCAAAATAAGAAAGTATGAGTCTCACAAGCCCTCATCTTCAAGTTTAGGAAATGACTCTTAAACACATACCATGTTCCTTTCTACAGGTTGGTTGAGAAGACCATCCGCTGGAGAGACATTGAACCACTTCTTCATCCTTCCCTCCAGTGGTTTTGTATCCTGAAGCACAACGATAATGCATGTTCTCTTGAATTTTGTATAATAACTTTATATCAGAGATAAAACCATTCCTCAGGTCAGGTCTGGTGCATTTTTCTGAGGAAAAAAAAATTATTTGCTTAATTCAATAATGAAATTAACCTTGTCTTTTACTAAGTTGTAAATTTAAGAGAAAAGGATAGTATTATGTTCAGTTGGAATTTGAAACAGAGAAAAAGAAAAGTTTCACTTCTCATCTCCTTCATTTAATTTAATTTAGAAAATTCCTGCGTCTATTATATTTGTAAATGGATTCATATTGACATTGGCTTTTTTTTTTTTTTTTACCAATTTCAGTTCCTACTACCTACAGTATTTTAGAAAATATATCCAGAGCTCTTCTTAATCAATTGTCTTTAATGGCAAAGTAATTTCTTTTGGATTTACTTCCTAATATTTAGTCCAGTGTGATTTTTTTTTAACATCGTGCACAAAAGCACATACCTGTTTTCTAGATTCTGAAATAATTCTGCAGACATCTTATCTTAATGTGCAAACTGTGTTCAATCATCATATCAGCAGATATTTTGGGAATAAAATAGTTTCACAGTAAGGCTCAGTAGCCAGTCCACAGACTTGTAACTCAAAAGCTGGAAGTTTATAGAGTTGGTTTTCTTTCAAATGAATAATTGTTGCAATAATGTATTAAATAATAAAAAAAAAATCTTAGAGTTGTGTGAAGCTCTTATCATTTTAATCCAACAAAATAAAATCACTGCTGTAGAGTCAATTCCAACTAACTCATAGCGACCCAATAGACAAAGTAGAACTGCCCCATATGGTTTCCAAGGCTATAAATCTTTACAGAAGCAGACTGCATCTTTCTTCCAGGAAGTGGCAAGTGGGTTTGAACCGTTGATCTTTTGGTTAGCAGCTGAATGTTTTAACTATTCTACCAGAGATCATTTTAATATAGGTCCCATTATTAGATCTTCACAACAAATCAGTTCACAAAAGTTAAGGGACTTCCCTAAGTTATTATTAGATTAATTATATGTACTTTGTGATATGAACTCTGTGAGAATTATCTCATTTTAAGAAGTACCAACCCATTTTATAGATTAAAAGTTAGGTTCAGAAAGTTTAAGTCACATTCCACTGGTGAAGCTGAACTCACACACAGGCAATCTGACTGCAGAGGTTGTATATTAACCTTACTCTCCATGCTAAACTTGAGTTCTCCTCCCCTGACTCCTATATCAATGCTCTTTTGTCTAAGTTAAAAGAGTCAATAAGCCTAAGATGTTTAACTTATTTTTACACTCTAGTGATGAATAAAATCCATTTATTGAAGTTAATTGATGTCCACTTTTAATACTAAAAACTTTTAATACTAAAAGTGCATTGCTTTTCTTTTTTTAATGTTTGGTCCTCAAATCATAGAATAGAAAATTATTCAAATGGTATATTTACTAACACTAAACTCTTCTAGATGAAATTAACTTAACTAAAGCCTCTTATTCTGGAAAAGAGAGCTTAGGGAATTTTTAGCTCAAGAAGCCACCTAATAGGCCTATAGCATAATCTGATATGAAATGATGAAATGAATCAGATTCCCTTCTTACAAATTCAAACTCAAATTCAGGGGAAAAAAATATATATTTTTCATGGAGAGTATGAGAGAAGAAGCAGGTACATGAAGAAGAGATGAATCTTAAAATAAAAATAAAACACAGAGTAACGATCTTCTTCTACCTGATGCTAAGGGCTTAAGCATTTTTTGACTCCCTATGAACAGCTCTTCATATAATAAGTTTCTTATTACTTAAAGTAAGTCAATTGAGTTTCTGTTTCTTGAAATGTGATAAATAACAATTTCAGTAATTACCCTTCTTCTCTTCATAGGGTATTATTAAAAACAAATAAAAATAAAATTTTAATGTGGAAGCGCTATTTACAGAACTGTAGAATATGCTTTCATTTTGTAGAAAGATAATGTAACAATAATTTGCTTTTATCTATGCATAAGGTTTAACCACCTTCCATATTTTATTAGGCCCTCATTTATACAAATTAAATTATTTTAGCATTGAAAACATTGTATCAAGACATTCAGTTGACTTACTGAAGCACCTTGGTTCTGGAGACCAGCCTTCTGTTGTACATCTAGTTTGTGCTTCTTGTTTCCCAGTTTCAGTTGTATAACCAGCCAAGCAGAAGTATTGCAATTTTTTGTCTATGCCCATTGGAAAGTAATAACTTTTAAAAGGATAGTAATATTGGGCGATTCTTCCATTTTCCACACTAGGAAGATCACAGGGTTTCTCTGAAATAAGTAAGTATAAAGCTGAAAATTGAAAAAGATACCTAAAACTTTAAAATTTGAGTGAAGTGACAATATATCTTTAAATTAAACATGGTATAGACAGTTTAACTAGGACTTATTTTTATTACCTGTTTTTTGAAAGTGTTTTTGTGACAATCCTAAGATATTTTTATTTTTCACTCAAAAATTAATCTGCCAGTAGCCCCAGCACACAATAGTCAGGATAAAACTAGGCAGGCTATTCCCATAGAGAAGCTTTCTCTGATTTTGTAAAACAGCACTGTCCAGTAGAAATATGATACAAACCATTTGTGTAATTTTAAAATGTCTAGTAATAAAGTTTATAAAAGTAAAAAGGAACAAATAAAGTTCCTTTTTTTTTTCTTTGTTCCTCATTTCCTTCTTGTGGTTATCTTTTCTCTGTGTCTTTCTTTCCTATGCATTCCCGGCCTCTGAACTATCTCCCTGTGCAAATACTGCCCTTTTGATACTTCCATCGTTGATTGTTCTAAGGAGGAAAAGATAATGTTAATTTTAATAATACATTTTTAACCCAATGTATCCAAAATATTTTTTTCCAAAGGCTTTGAAATTCAGCTGTGTTTACCCTTTAAATTTGGATGAGCCACATATCAAGTACTCAACAACCACATGTGATAAGTGGTCACGTATTGAACTGCATAGTTCTAGAATAGGTCGAGAATCCTTACTCTAAGGATTTTTAAATAAATGGCTTTAAAAAAAATACATAAAACACAAACCAAAAGCCCATTACCTTTGAGAATATTATGACTCATAGCAACCTTGTAGTACAGAGTAGAACTGCCCCACAGAATTTCTGTATGGAATCAGATCACAACATCTTGCTGTCACAGAGTGGCTGATGCATTTAAACCTCCAGCTTTTCAGTTAGCAGCTGAGAACTTTAAACATTATGCCATCAAAGCTCTTATATAAAAGATAGGCAACTAATTTTAAAAAATATATACCAAACACTTGAGGAATTACTTCATAAAACAGGATAAATGCATTTGACTAACCAGAAGGCTGGATGTTCAAAGCCACCAGCCACTCCTCAGAAGGAAGGTTGGGTAATCTACTTCCCTAGTGATACCGCCTTGGAAACCCAAGGACGGGTCGCTATGAGTCAGATCCGACTCGATGGCAGTGGGTGCATTTTAAACCTAGTAAAAAGTACTCAAGTTTATTAATCATTGTTGTTGTTGTTGTTATGTGCCATCGAGTCAGACCCGACTCATAGTGACCCCTCTTGGGTTTCCGAGGCAGTATCACTATGGAAGTAGGATTGCCCAACCTTCCTGGTGGCTGGTGGGTTTGAACCGCAATCATTAGGAAATGTAAATTCAAACCACTATGAGATAGTACTATATATCAATTAGAAAGGCTGAAATGCAAATGACAGACTATATCACTATTTGACAAAGATGTGGAGAAACTGGAACTCTCATACTACTGAAACAGAAATATAAGTTGGTACAATCACTTAGGGGAAAATAATTTAACACTATTTATTAAAACTGGACATGCGCATATCATATCACTCAACAGGAAAGTGTGAAAAAGTATGTTTGTAGCAGCATAATTCATATTAAATCCAAGATGGAAACAATATAAATGTTCATTAACAGCAAAATAGATAAATATATTTTAGAATACACCTACAAATTCAGTAAGAATGGTGAATCTTACAAGCACAATACTGAATGAGAGTAGACAGACACACATGAATATATATTGTATGCATTTACGTAGTTTTTTTAAAGAGGACAATCTAATCAATAGCAATAGAAGTCAGGATAGTTAACTATGTAGTAATGTGAAAGGAAATATGTAGGAGGCTTCTGAGGTGCTAATGTTATACAAAAAGTTCTAAAAATGCATAATGCATATCAAGATTTTTGCATTTTTCTATGTATATTACACTCCAATAAAACACTTACTTAAAAATTTCTACCCCTATGTTGGAGAGAAACATAAAATGGCTTAAAACAAAGGAATTATTTAACCACCCCTAGGGGTTGTGTTAGAAGGAAACAGCAGTCTTGGGTGGAAGGAGGTTTGGACCCAGTAGGATTACTTTTCCTGTAATGCCTTGGGTAATCACTGCATACTCTATTGCTACCATGAAACATAAAATACTAGCAGTGCCAGGCCAGTCTGAGGAGAGTAGGCATGGGATGGGGAGCAACATAAGGATATTTCCAGAGTTTAGAAGAGGAGGAAAGTGTGTGTGTGTGTGTGTGTGTGTGTGTGTGTAGTAGACTGTAACACCTAAGACCTAAGACCTCTGCTCATTATTTTCCATACCCTAACAAGTTGCTGCAGAGTTGATTCCAACTCATGATGACCTAATTTTTGTCCTAGTAGAACTGTGTTCCACTGGGCTTTAATGGCTAAAATTTTTAAAGTAGTTCAACAGGCCATTGTTACCAGGCACATCTGGGTGAACTGGAACTTCACCCTTTTGGTTGGCAGACATGCTTTCTAACAGTTTGCAGCACCAAGGAACTTCCATAAACTAACATAGAGAATTACAGTGAAAGGACTCTTCTAAAAGAGCAGTGCCATAATGAAGGTAGAAGAAGGTTCTCTGAGGACAGGTTTGCTTACAAGGGAGGGGCAAGAGACAGATTGCTCAGACCTAGGTTGTGACTTCAAAGACTCTCTGACCTTCATCCTCCTTCTTCAGGAAGTACAAGTTACCTGTCTAACTCATATGTGTAGAAGAACATTAATTCTTGAGGAAAAACAATGAGAAATATGGGGAACTCAATTAAATAAAAGAAAGTGAACAAACTGAACAACCAATAACAGATGGAACAAAATTGATGCAACAAATAGATAAAGAATGTCTAATGTGCGTGATGAACATCCTTAAACAGAAAAGGGAAGATACTGGTAATATTGTTGATGTTGTTGCTAGGTGCCGTCAAGTCGTCTCCGACTCATAGCAACCCCATGCACAGCAGAACGAAACACTGCCCAATCCTGTGCCACCTCCACAATCCCTGCTATACTTGAGCCCATCATCACAGCCATTGTGTCAATCCATCTAGTTGAAGGCCTCCCCCTCTTTCGTCGATCCTCCACCTTACCAAGCATGACATCCTCCTCCAGGGAATGGTCCCTTCTGACAACATGACCAAAATAGGTGAGAGGAAGTCTGGCCATTCTTGCTTCCAAGGAGCACCTCTGTTACCTTCCTCCGGCACAGATCTGTTAGGTCTTTTAGCAGTCCATGGGACTTTCAGCATTCTTCGCCAGCACCACAACTCAAAAGCATCAACTCTTCTTCAGTCCTCTTTATTCATTGTCCAGCTCTCACATGCATACGAGGTGATTGGAAATATCATGGCTTGTGTCAGGCACACCTTAGTCCCCAAGAAGACATCCTTGCTCCTCAGCACTTGAAACAGTTCCTTCACAGATGACTTTCCCAATGCTACACGTCATCTAATGTCCTGACTGCTGCTTCCATTGGCCTCAATTGTAGAAAAAAGCAACATGAATTCTTTGACAACCTCAATCCTCTCTCCATTTATTGTGATGCTGCTCATTGGTCCACTTGTGAGGATTTTTGTTTTCTTTATGTTGAGATGTAATCCATACTGCAGACTGTATTCTT